GGGGGGGTGTGGAAATGGGGGGGTGTGGAAATGGGGGGGTGTGGAAATGGGGGGGTGTGGAAATGGGGGGGTGTGGAAATGGGGGGGTGTGGAAATGGGGGGGTGTGGAAATGGGGGGGTGTGGAAATGGGGGGGTGTGGAAATGGGGGGGTGTGGAAATGGGGGGGTGTGGAAATGGGGGGGTGTGGAAATGGGGGGGTGTGGAAATGGGGGAGATAGGGAGCGTGGAAACAGGGATGGGAAAGGTGGGTGTAGAAATGGAGGCATCGAAATGGGGAGATGGGGAAGCATGAAAAGAGGAGGATGTGGAAATGGAAGGGTGTGGAAGCATGGAAATGGGAGGGATAGGGGGCATGGAAATGGTGCATGTGGAACTGGGGAAAATGGAAAGGGGAGAATAAGGGAGCACAGAAAGGGGAGGGTGTGGAAAAGGGAGGGGGATGGGAGAATGGAAATGGGAGGGCATGGAAATGGGGGAGATAAGGGATCATGGAAGTGATGAGGTGAAAAAGGTGAAAGGTGGGCACGGAACTGGGACATGGAAACAGGGGAGATGGGAAAGCATGGAAATGGGGAACGTGGAGAAGGCGGGTGTGGAACTGGAGGCATCGAAAAGGGGTGCATGGAAATAGAAGAAGGAAGGGGGGCATGGAAACGGGAGGGGGTGCAAGCAGCAGCAGGCTGGGAAGCACCACTGCCCCCGGGCCCCCCCCCCCCCCCCGCGCCCCCCCCCCCCCCCGCCCGGGGGGGGCACCTTGTGGGGCTTCTTAGTGCTGAGCCCAAAGCGCTGCTCTGAACGTGCCTCCACACAGACCCCGTCCTGGGGGGGGAGGAGGGGGCAGAGAGAAGGAACAGAGCACTTGGTCACAGCCCAGAGCCTCGCTGCACTGTTATGGAGGGGCTTAGGCACAACGGGGGGCACCGGGAGCTCCAGAAAGCCAAAGGGGGAACCCAGACAGTACTGGGGGGGCACATGGCTTTGTATTCCAAGGTTTAGGCAGCCCTGGGCGATGCTGGGGGCACTGGGATCCTACAGGCAGTACTGGGGGGCACCAGGACCACGCTAGGACAGCAGTGGGGGGCACTGGGGAGGTACAGGCGGTACCGGGGTACCAGGAGGAGCTCTGGGCAATACTGGGGAGCGCTGGGATTGTGCTAAAAAGCTCCAGGCAGCACCAGGGAGCTCTGGGCAGTACTGGAGGGACACTGGGAGCGTGCTTGGGGCCTGCAGGCTGTACTGGGGGGGCACTGGGAGGGGCTCAAGGCAGTACTGGGGGGAGGGGGCAGCAACAGGGGTATTGAGGGGCTGCAGATGGCAGCAGGGGGCTGTGGGGAGTTTTGGGTGGCACTGGGAGCATGTCAGGGTCTGCAGGCAGTACTGGGGGCACTGGGAGAGGCTGGAGGTGGCACTGGGCAGTTAGCGAGGGGCTGCAGATGGCGCTGTGAGCTCTGGATAGCAGTGGGGAGGGGAGGGGGGGCTCCAGGCAGCACTCAGAGGTTCTGCGGAGGGCCCGCACCGCTCAGAAGGGCTGCAATGATTCCCCCCCCCAGTAACTCCCCCCGCCCGCCCCGCACCTGCCCGTCCCGCACGGCGATGTTGGCCGCCGCCTCGTTGAAGACGTGATCCCACCAGTGGAAGGAGAACTGCTCGGCAGCGTCGTGCCCCACCTGCGGTGAAGGACGGGGGTGAGGAACGGCGGCGGGCCGATCCGGGGGCTGGGGGGGGTCTGAAGGCCGCGCTCACCCCCGCGGTGCCGCACTTGACGCTCGGGCGGATGGGCCGCGCGATGCCGTCCTCCCACTTCCCCAGCCCGCGGCCTGCGGATAGAGACACCCTTCAGCCGCCACGCCCCGCCGCTTCAGCGGGAGCGATCGGGCCGGCGCTCACCCCACGTCCATCCGTGCCGCCTCAGCTCCCGCTCGGCGAAGCGCAGCCCGGCGCCCTGCGGCTCCGCCGCGCTCATGGCAGCCTGGCTCCCCTCGCGGCCGGGCCGCGCCGCTCTCTGCGCATGCACCGCGCACGCTCCGCACAGCGCCGCCTTTACTCAAGGGGGGGGGCGCGTGCGCGGGGCCTTCGGGTGTGCGCATGCGCAAAAAGCGAGACTCGGAGAGATCCGCAGGGTGCCGTAAGGACCCATGGAATCGTAGACTCACAGAATGGCCCGGGTTGAAAGGAGCACAGCGAGCATCAGTTCCAACCCCTGCTGTGTGCAGGTCACCAACCAGCAGCCCAGGCTGCCCAGAGCCACATCCAGCCTGGCCTCGAATGCCTGCAGGGATGGGGCACCCACAGCCTCCTTGGGCAGCCTGTAACAGTGCCTCACCACCTGTGTGAAAAACTTCCTCCTACATCCAACCTCAGCCTCCCCTGGCTCCGTTTGGCCTTTTCAACCCACGCCATTCTGTGGTTCTGTGATTCTATTGAAGTATTTTAGAGAGGACGGGAATCTAATCAGTGATTTAGAAGGGAGGAAAGCAGATGACAGACGGGTGCGTATGCAGACGACACGCTGCGGTGCCCTTTAGTATTTTATGGAAATTGGTCCTAAGGGAACGCAATCAAACAGAGGGAGCAGACACTACCAAGCAGTGTAGGAACCTGGTGGCAGGACCAGGGCACGAGCAGGGCGTTAGGAAGGGAACCTTCCAGGGCAACAGTGGCAGATGGATCCTTCTCAGAACTGCCACGGAAATGGAGGGTTTCATTCTATGCTGGCTGTAACCAGTGCAGCTTTCAGCCTGGAGAAGGGGGGGCTCCGGGGAGACCTGGTTGCTCCCCATAACTGCCTGAAGGGAGGCTGCAGTGAGCGGGGGGTCGGCCTCTGCTCTCGTGTAGCAGGGATAGGACCGGAGGGAATGGGCTCCGGATGTGCTGGGGAGCTTCAGGCTGGACGTTAGGAAATATAGGAAATAGCAGGAGAGGTCAGGCAGTGGAATGGGCTGCCAGGGAGCGATGGAGTCACCGAGCCCGGAGTGTTCAAGGAACGTCTGGATTTTGTGCTGAGGGACGAGGATTAGTGAGAATATTGGTGACGGGTGGACAGTTGGACTGGGCGGATCTCAAAGGCCTTTTCCAACCTCGGCCACTCTGCCGTTCTGCCATTCTGCCATTCTGTGATTCTGCCGTTCTGCCGTTCTGCCATTCTGCCGTTCTGCCATTCTGCCATTCTGCCGTTCTGCCATTCTTTGAGTGCCTTTTCAGGCAGCAGCAGCATTCCCTGCAGGACCAACGAAGCCCAAGAAGCAACCAAAGCCCTGTTGCCGATGACTCCGAGGTTGGTGGCTCCTGCAATAACATCCTCCCACCGGGGAACTCGTTTTATCGCACAGACTGCCAGCAGCTCAGCGAGCCGTATGGAGCAGATCAGCAATGGCTTGCACTGCGAGGCGAGGGGCCGGGTGGGAAAGATGAGAGCAGCCGATGGAAGCACGGGCTGCAGAGCCGGCCAGGAGGCTGGGCTGTCGGGGCCGCGTTCGGCTCTCCTGAGCATCAGCGCGAAACCCGGAGCCAAAGAGCGCTCGAGTCCTGCGAAACGCCGCTCGGAAGGCGGCCGGAGCCGGCGGCCCCAACCGGCGCTGCGAGCGGCGTGGGAGGAGCGAGCGGCCCGGCGGTAGCGGAGCGGCTGTCGCCATTTCACGGCAAAGCCTGCGGGTCTGCGGGCCGAGCCGGGCTGCCAGGGAGCTGCCGCCGCGGGTGGCTGCTGGGGCAGCAGCAGGAGCTACTGGCCAACGGGAAAAGTCTTACCAGTCAAATGCCCCAAAAAAAAAAAGGGGTAAGGGTAAAACAAGACAACAGATCAGAAGTTTTCAGTCTGGCTTCAAGCTGGGAAAAACAGCGTTGCACCCCCAGAAGTTACAGAAATCTCAATCAGGTTCACCCAGCTGTGCGGGGTCGGGGACGCCTGGCAGAGCCGAAATGCAGCCGATAGAAGGGAAGTTAAAAGCAGGAGGTGGGTGAAGCAGCGCCCTGTGAGGTGTTGGAAGGACGAGAGAAGCAGCAGATCGCTTCTTGGAGTTTGGATCGTTCGCTGAATGTGAACCCAAGGACAGCAGCCCAGTCCTGCTGATTTAATGATGGATGGGAGGAGCGATAGTTTGGCCCAAGGCTGGGGGGCAGTTGATAGGACTGTTGAAGGCGCAGCCAGTGGCAGCAAACCCACTGGCCAAGTTAAGCAATGAGTGCGTGGCGTTCGCCTTCCGGATTGCAGCAGGAGAGTAGGAGAACCCCGACACGGGGAGCAAAGCCTCAGCAAACCTGGGCACTGTTAACCAGCGTGAGAAAAAATCCCAGTCCCAGATTTCAGGTTAGGGATGTTGGTGGCAGCAGCCGTGTTCATTCATGGCTGCAGGGTTGGCAGGGAGGAGTCGCGCCTGTCGGCGGCGTCCGTCCCGTGGCCCCAGGCGGCGCCGTGCGGCTCTGCTGATGCTCAAAGGCTGAGCGCCTCAGGCTCACGGTCTCCCCCGCGCCGCTGCTCTGATTCGTCTCCACGTCAGCCCAGTCACCAACACGTCGTGTCTTTGGTGTAAATTGTGCTTTCCACGGATTAAGAGGGCAATGATTCCAAGAATGAGCAACACGTTCTGCTGCCCCGTGCTGGGCTCTCTCTCCACCCTCTGTATTTGCCTCATGTTTTGCCTGGCTCAATTCTACCCCACTCAGAGCGCCCCAAATCTTTAACTTTTTACTCTGCTCAGTAGCTTTCTTAGTGGAAGAAAACCAACTGTTTCACATAGGAGTTCAGTAAAGGCCGATACTGCGTGCAGAAAATCCTGGAAGCTGCTACTGCAAAACCACAACCCATCTCTCACCCAGAGAACAGCCCAGCGATTTGTGAGGATTTGTCAGCTCCTGAGCCTGAGATGTGGGGGCCTCCAGGGCAGGGTGGAGCTTTGCTGCGCTATAATAAGATGCCACAATGACAGCAGAGGGCTGCGCGCCATGGGCTGCGAGTTCGCTGAATTCCTGGGTTTAAATGGCCACCAAGTTTCTCGACAGAGAGCCCTGCTGATGGAAGAGAAGGAAGGCAGCAATTTGCCGGACTCCCAGAGCAGCAACGCGGAGCCACCTGTGAGCCAGCAGTGTGACTGACGGAGGCTGGCCGTGCCGCTGGGCCAAGCGACAGGGGAACCACTGGGAGATGGTGAGGATTCCTCGATGGAAGCGCTTTTCTGACTCAAGGAAACGTAATGCAGGATGTGCAGTAACTGCCGCCGCCAAGGCAATGCGGGCACAGCCATCACCGTGTGCTCAGGAGGCGGAAACAGCCCGTGCATTTCAGGCAGGTGTTAAACGGGCTTTTGGTGCTGCAGCTCATGGAAAGAGCGAGGATTGCAGACACGAGGAACACAAATTCAGCACGGTGCGAACCTGCCAAAGCGCTCTGCACCACGAATGGACGCTGCGCTTTGCAATGTCCCCATCAACCCCTCTGGCTGTCGCTGTGGTTGCCTTCAAGAGAAGCGCCTTCCCCCCATCGGCAGTGCGTTGATTTGAAGCGGCAGGCACACAGTGCCTTCTAGTGGCCCGTTTGTAGGAACAGGGCTGTTGCATCGTTGCATTACGCGCTGAGCTCTCCCTTGCAGAGCTGCAGCAGCCTGGTTATGGATGCAGCGCGACAGACTGGAAGGTGTGTTGGAAGGCATTCTGTTCTAACAGGGGATCTTCAGCAGGAGAAACACAGTAATGGAAGAGAGAAGCAGCCGGGGCCTCCACCCGACGCTGAGCTGTGTCACTCCGGGTGTAGGTTGGGATGCGATGGGCAGAGATATTCCTCTCCATCCTCCTTATCTCCCACCACCCCATCGGTGTCACCCAAGGACAGGCAGCCAAACTGGTGGGATGCTCCGAAATGAGGGCTGAGTGCTGAGCGACGAGCCGTGGGCAGGCTGAGAGCTGGGCAGCAGGAAACCAGATGGGGTTTAACAAGAGCAAGGGCAGAGTCTTGCAGCCGGGGAGGAATGACTGCATTGGGGTTGAGCTGCTGGAGAGGAGCTCTGCAGAGGGGGACCTGGGGCTCCTGATAGGCGACAGGTCGGCTGTGGGCTGTGTGCCCTGGTGGCCAGGAGGGCCAGCGGGACCTGGGGGCATTAAGAGCATGAAGGGGAGCGTGGCCAGCAGGGCAGGGGAGGCGATCCCCCCCTCTCTGCTTTGCCCTGGTGAGGCCACGTTTGGAACACTGGGCTCTGGTGCTGATCCGGACTGATTCTGGACTCCGTTCAAAACGACAGGGATCTCCTGCAGAGATGCAGCGGAGGGCGCAGAGGTGATGCGGGGCCTGGAGCATCTCCTGTGAGGACAGGCTGAGCGACCTGGGGCTTTCAGCCCCCAGAAAGGAAGGCTGGGAGGTGATCGGATCAGTGTCCGTAGATCTCTTGAGTGTGGTTGTCAAAGGGACACAGCCAGGCTCTTCTCAGCGCTCCGTGGGGACGGGACGGGGGAAACGAAGCGCAGCGTGGGAAGGTCTGCACCGATATGGGAAGGGATCCTTCACAGCGAGGGCGGTGCAGCGCTGAGCTGCCCAGGGAGGCTGCAGGTTCTCCTCTGCAGGCATCGCAGAGCTTCCTGCGTGCCGAGCTGCGCAGCCTGCTGCAGGGAGCTGCTGTGCAGGGGCTGGACTCCGTGACCTCTGAGGTCCCTTCCAGCCCCTACAGCTCCGCGATAGATCGTGATTTTGGCACGTATGCTCATCAGTCATTCTCCTGAGTCAGTGAGGAGAGCTCATCCAGAGGGCGAGCGAGGAAGAGCATGGGATGAAGGCAGGGGCTGGCACTGTGCTGCAAGGACACCAGGAGGTAGAATAGAGCATGGAATGGAAGACTGGAACCATGAGCACTGCCTGGGACAAACTGCCGGGCCCCACGCGCTGCCCCAGCTCCTGCAACCTCAGCTCCACGCTGCGGTGCTGCTCAGCCCCCCCCATGTGCTTTGCTGCTGCAGTGCTGCTGCCGCCTCTCCCCTTCCCTCCCTGCCCCATCCTCCCCTATCGAAAAAAGGGAAGAATTGCATTAAATGTGGGATTGCTGCGGTGAAGGGAAGGACCAGGCAGCCTGGTCTAGTATTAAATGTGGAGGTTGGTGGCCCTGCCTGCGGTGGGGGGGTTGGAGATCCGTGATCCTTGAGGTCCCTCCCAACCCTGGCCCTTCTGTGATTCTGGGAAGGAGGGCCGGAGAGGTAGGGGCTGCACCGACCCCCACCCTCTGCCCCAGGCTGAGAGATTCATCAGGAGGTAACGAGGCAAACTCAATCAGCGGCAATCAAGGACGATACACAGAGCGCAGGGAGACGGATGGTTGTGCGCATTTATTATTTGTTGTTGTTTTCTCGTTGATAAACCTGGTCTGCAAACCACACGGCCCCGGAGACCCTGGGGAAAGGTTGGTCCTCCACGGAATGCAGCGTGGTTCAAACGCACCACAGCGGGGAGGGGGGGGAAATGAGGATGGCACCGGGCTGGGAAGCACGCGGACACCGACGCTTTTGAGTGGAGAGATCGGATCTTTCCATCTCCTCTCGTTTTTACAGATACCGAACCCACAGAGCAGAAGACGCGACGCAGCCGCGCGAGGAGCGGAGCGCTGGGGCAGCAGCAGCCTCTGCAACGCCTTCTTCTGCACGGCGCCTTCAGCTCGGCTTCCACGACAGCAAACCCCGTCCCTGAAGGCCACCGGGGCTCCACGTCGCCATCCCAGCTGCGCAGAGACCCCACTCCAGGCGTGGATTGCACGCAGGCCAGCCCTGGAGCAGGAGGCGGCAGCCCCCCGCGCGCCGAGGGCCCCATTTGGCCCATGGAATTATTAAGACAAACGACATCAGAAATTTCCAAGTCGCTGCGATTTTTCTTTTGCTCTATTATCCCCAAGAAGATGCCGGGAGAAAGAACCGGAAAGCAAACTTGGCTCAAGTTTTAAATATCTGCCTGAAAGGAGGGCGAAGGGAGGGAATCATGTACAGTTAAAATCAAGCTACTCAAAACACAATCATTCAGGTAAATAACTAGGAGTATCGCCTCTACCATCTAGAGAGAGAGAGAAGAGTGTCTGAAACAGAGGGCATATTGAGGAAAAATACACATCTGAAGTCTCTGTGGCCACGATGAGAACTGGAATCCACATACAAGCCAGTTAAAGAGCATTTCAACATGAAATCTTAACTTAGTAGGAAGGTCGGGGTTAAGCTGTATCTTTTTTGTTTTAAATACATGGACAGCTGTCAGATATGAAAATGACGGCGGGCTTTCCTGAAAGATCCCCTGCGCGTGTGAATGGATGCGAGCTGACATCTGCGGGGCGGCGGGACGGAGCTTAGGAAGGCTGGGAGCCCAGCAGTCTCTCAATGGCCGCGTTGATGTCCCCGCCCGTGGCGATGAGCGCCTGCAGGTTGGCCTCACGGTTAATGAAGCCCATGGCGTTCAGCTGCTCCAGCTGCTGTTGGAATCGCACTTCGGGACTCTGCGCCTGCAGAGGGAAAGGACAAAGCGCTCAGCTGCGGCGGCGGATCCGGGCACGAGGCGGAGCGGGGGCAGCGCTGCAATTCCTCAGTGCCTTCAGCGCTGCGATCCAGCGCCCCGGATCTCAGCGGCTCCGGCAGAGCAGCCATGCCGTGCACGGGCCGCTCCACGCCTGCGGCAACCAGGACAGCCAGCACCCTGTGTTTCACGCCCCAAGAACCAACCCGGCCTGGGACCAAAGCAAACTCGGCAGAAAGCAGCAGAGCCAAAGGGAGCCGGCTGCTGAACCACGGCCCTGGGGGGGGTGGGAGCAGGTCAAGCCGAGCTCACCCAGCGGTGCCCCCGAGAAGCCCACCAGCACGAAAATGGGCACCCAGGACTTATGGGGAGCTCATGAATTGGAGGGAGAGCAATCTGCGTGGGCATACGGGGACAGGACAAGGCTTTCAAGTAAAGGAGGGGAGACTTCAGACGTTAGGTGGAAATTCTTTGCTCAGAGGGCACCGCGTGCTGCCCAGAGCTGTGGGTGCCCCAGCCCTGGAGGTGCCGGAGGCTGTGAATGGACCCTGAGCAGACGGAGTGCGGGCTCAGGAAGTGGATGATCTTTGAGATCCCTTCCACCCTAAGGCATCCTACGACTCCACGATTACATACTTGAGAGCTTCCTCCAGCCAGCAGCTGGATCATCTGCTGCATGAGCTGCTGCTGGGGGTTACCGCCCCCGGCTGGAGAGGCACTGGCCGGCGTCGAAGCGGAGGGAACGGGGTTCTCCGGGATTGTGCTTCCTCCTGTGGAGGACGGGGGCATTCGAGGCATGCCAAAGGAGCCGAGGCTGCAGAGGAAGGCAGGGTTTGCTCAGAGGCGAGCCGGCACTTCTGGCTGTCCCCTGCCTACCTTGCGAGGGCGAGGCAGCACGGAGAGCCAGCAGGCTCGGCCAGGCTGGTCACGCTCCACGACTGGCTGTGCTCGTATCCCAGCCACAGCACCGCTGGGAGCAAGCCATCCTAACACAGCACAGCCCCAAAAGACTGCAGAGACTGAGCAGAGACTGTGCATGGACAAAGAGCAGAGGGCCCGAGGGCACCCGGCAGCACAGCGTGCCCTCACTTACCCACCCAGCCCCACGGCGCGCATCTCAAACATTCCTCAGAGTAAAACTGAGCCCCCCTGACACTTAAATACCTCAAACGAAACTCAGAGGAGGGACCAAACGGTTCCCAAATCTTTTCCCCAAACAGAGAAGGTCAAGGACTCCCTCCACGAAACGCAAACAAACGGAAAGCACCCATCAGCTGGAGCCCAGAGCCCTGCAGGCGCACGCACAGCGCTCCTGAGATCTGCTGGGTGAACGGGCGCCAGGCTGCCTGCTGGCCTCCAGCACGCCCTGCCCGCAGCATCGCGCCCCGAGGAGCTCCTTACCTTGGCACCAGTCCTGGGGCCTCCGTTTGCAGCGTCTGGAGCCCCTGCTGGATCTGGAGGAGCGCCTGCATGGCGCGGGGGTTGGTGAGAATGGACAGGGAGTCTGGGTTCTGCATCTGGGAACGAAGGAGAGACACGGCGGCGGTGAGCAGCCAGAGCTGCAGGCAGGGCTCACAGGCGGAGCAGCTCAGCACGGCGCTGCAGCACAGCCAGCCTCAGCTCTGGGCTCCCCTCCCCGCCCCTCCAGCACCGGGCTCTGCACACTCCCAGAGCTTCCATCACATCTCCCACATGAAGTAGGAGAATCAGATTAGGACGGGGCACGCGTGCCTCCACAATTAAAGCCGTTTTGATCCACTCGAGTGAACCAGCTGCTCAAGCGCAATTAGCCAGGCTAATTTTCGTAAACTCATTACTGGGAGAGAGCGTCCACACAGGGGTTTCACGCGGCTGAGCTCGTCTCATTTCAAGTCAACCCTGAGGTAATTTAGGTTACCTCATTTACATTGCCGTGCCCAAACAAGCTCCCCCTCTCCTTCCCCTGCGCCAACCCCCCCCCCAGGGCCAGACAGGGGCTGTTACCTGCTGCAGGAAGACTGGGAGCTGAAGGCGGAGCTGTTCTTGAAGCTGTGGGTTCCCAGCAAAGAGGGGAACATTTACCATGATCTAGCAAGAGACGGCACACAGAGGATCAGAGCATTGCTGCCCACGGCTGTAACGCTCCACGTAACCGAGCCCCAACCAACACGACGCTCGTGTCCCTGACTTTCTCCCCAGGCTCTCGTCGTGTTTTCCTGCCTATGGGAACTGAAAGGCTGACACAAGACAGCTCAGTTCCTGGCAGCGTTGTTGAACAGGACCCACGGGCAAAGAGAAGGGCCACCCCTGTGCTCCCCTGAAAGCCACCTCCTCCTGTGAGTGGCTCCACTAAAACACAGGGCCCACCGTCGTGTCTGCCTTCGAGCTACAGAGAAACTGAACAGAATTGTTTACACTCACTCAGCTCAGCTTTCTGCAAGACAAACCTCTCTGACTACGGGAGCAGACTGTTCTCACAAGCACTGTGCTCAAGTCCTGCCTGATAACGAATAGCAGATACAACAGCTGTTACCTGTGCTGCAAAGTCTGGGTTCTGGGCAAGGGTCTGCATCATGCTCCTCATGTAAGGGGCAGAGATCATATTCTGCATCAGCTGAGGATTCTCTGAAATCTGCTGCAGGAGACCTTGCATCTCCGGGCTGTTAAACATGCCTGCAAGGGTGAAGGAAAGAGAAAACAAAGGAAAACTCCTTGCAGCGCAATGCAGAGCAGTGCCACAGCGCCTTTACTTCACCCACGGGCCAACAGGGAACGCCTTCCCTCTCTGCCGAGCTCTCAAGGCCTGCAGGGACAGCGGCGCTCCTCCAGTCGCACAGGAAATAACCCAACCCTGGTGCAGCTGCAGTAACGCCTGCCTGCACAGCAGCCCCGTTCTGCAGCAAAGCCCCCACCGACGCCCGGCTGCTCGGTGCCACCGGACCGTCCCGGTCCCTCTCGTCACGTACCTGCCCCAAAGCTAGCAGCATTGAGCCCAAAGGGGTTGGACACGGTCGGGGTGCTCTGGGTGCTTCCTGAGCCAGCGCTCCCTTCGCTGCTGGGCGCCTGGCTCTGTGAAGCAGGGGGGCTGGGGCTCCAGGGATTCGGTAACGGCTCTCTGTTTTCTGTCCGCAAAGGCTGAGAGCTGGAGCTCTCGGAGCTCCCCGTCAAGGAAGAGAAGGGGTTGTTGCCAAACTGGGGAAGGGAGAGAGAAGAAACAGCCTCATTAGTCAGCCCAATGGGGAAAGCCGGACTCACCCTGTCGCTGTGTGAGCCGGGAAGCAATCGCTCGTGCTCAGATTGCTGAACACACACCAGAGTTTGCCTCCTGAGAAGTGTGCGATCCGCAAGATGCCACATTCAGAGAAACCCCAGCTCAAGAAATGGCCAGAGCCCCAGACCGGGCTTCCAAACACCCACGAGCCATCAGCACCCAGCCAAACCCACAGGGAGCGTCAGCCTGGAGGACGTCTGCACAGCTCGCAGAGAGACCTGCTCGCTCGTCCCGTGCTCCAAAGCTGACCCAAAGGTGTCAGGCTGGAGCTGACACAGAGCCCCACCGCGCTAACGGAGCTGCAGCATCTGGGCACCTGGGCATCTGCCTACTTGGGGAGCAAAGGAGCAGCAGCAGCTCCCCGCTCACATCCCCAGCCCCTGCAATGAAACCAGCCAGCCAGCACCGCACCGCCTCTCCTTCCAGCTGCGTTCGTCACCTCCGGAGGGAGAGGACCAGGAGCTGCGGCTGGAGAAGGAACAACCAGCTTCCCTTCTCAGCGCGCTATGCTGCGCCGCAGAGCCGTGCTGCAGAGCCGTGCTGCAGAGCCGTGCTGCAGAGCCGCGCTCCATACCTGCTCCCTGGCGGCGCTGAACATGGGCTCCTGGATGTCCGTGTACATGCGGCGCAGGGCGTTGTACCCTCCTGGAATGCTCTCGAGGTTGCTCAAAGCACGGTCCTGGTTCCTCATCATCTCCTGCATCATGGCGGGGTTACGAGCCAGCTCCATGGTCTGCCAGAGAGGAGAACGTGGAATGGCTGGGCCTGCATGCGCCCAGCAGAGCAAAGTGCACCCCGAGGTTGTGAGCAGCCCAGCAGCGCAACGCTGAGCCGCCAGCCGAGCACTCAGAGTTCACTCTGAGCTCCCAGAAGGAAGAGGATAATTAAACCCGTTTCACAGCCAGGGAGCAGAGAGATCATTTATCCAAGCAAGGAGAGCCCGATGATGCTGGCTCCTCCCACCTCGCTCTGCCTTTACAGCCCCAACTCAGCTCTGTGGGATTGTCTGACTTCTAAGCAGTATCGGAACATCCGAACATCCAACCACATGTTCCCACTTAAAGCAGGTGGACTGCATTCAAAACCCTGAGATGGAAGAGCTGGGATCTTCCTGCTGGAGGAAAACCGAGCAGTTCGTCAGCTCCAGGCTCCTGACGGCTCCCTCCTGCTCAAGGAGCACCCAGACATCCTGGGAGCTGCATAAATCCCAAACATCCACAATTGAGCCCTGCAGCTCTGCAATGCCACGTAGGGCCGACACGGCTGAAATTAAAACAAGATAATGGGAAGCGCATGGAAACTGGGCTCCTTCAGCAGCCACACGGAAACACATGCAGAGCAGTCCTCCTGGGAGCAGCAGAGCCCTGCTGAGGGCTGCCTAACGCTCAAGTCTCGCTTTCCCCTCATGCTGCCTCCCCGTGTCCTCCAGGGTGCAAGGCCACCTCTTCTCTGGGGCTGTGCAGAAAATAGAGCCCTCCAGGACCCCGGCCCATCACCAGTGCAATATTTTACGGGTACCACAGCACAGCTGCACAGCCTGTGTTCATCCACCAGCAGAAAAAGAGAAGAACACATGCAGGGCAGCTTCACTTCTCTGTGACTCCTTTTGCTCCCGTGCACGGATCAGAACACAGCGGCCTCATGTACGGTGCACTGCAATGATCCAAGAGCCCTTTTCTGCCCAACACTCAATAGATCAGCAGCTCTGACAGGGAGGAAGAGCCGCACGCACGCGGGCTGAGTAATGGCTGTTTACTTCACTTGAGACCACCGCCTGTCTGTGAGGGGTTTTCAGTGGGAAGGAGGAGGAGGAGATCCCTCAATCCACCGTTCTGCATTCCCACACCCCCTGCTAGAGCAGCTCTGAAGCTGAGCCACCACAAAGCTGTGGCAGCGCTCGGATCCATCGCGGCGTGCCAACCCACCTGCCTCATCAGCTCCGGGTTGTTCAGCATGTGGCTGATCTCCGGATTTCGCTCCATCAGCTGCTGCATCTGCGGGTTGGCCATGATCATCTGCCGCATGAGGTCGGGGTTCGACATCATGTTTTGCACCAAGGGGTTCTCCATGATCTGAGAGAGCATCTCTGGGTTGGACATCAGCTGTCGCTGCATCTGCTGCTGGAGCTCCATGAAGTTGGCAGAGCCCATGCCCAGGTTGCCCAGCCCAGTGATGCCACCGAAGCCAGCTGCAGAGGGAACAACACGGGAGGGAGGAGAGAGCTGTGGGTCAGGGAACGACGGCTGCGGCGGAAGGAGAGGACATTCAGGGGCTGAACTGCGCCCACACGGAGCTGGGGGAGCCCCGACCCCGAGCAGGCGGCTCTCAGGGGGATCCCCTGCACAGAGGGCTTGGGGGCGGCCCTGAGCAGGCAAACGACTCAGGTGAGCAGGAGAAACAACCACAGGGCCAAAAACCCAACCCCTCCACCTACACCTCAGGAACGCTTCTTCCCTGACTTCCTCGTGGGCCCCACTTACAAAGGATCGACGTGGCGCTGTTGGGGCCTCCGTCTCCAGGGCCTCCCAGACCCCCCGAGCTGCTGCTCCGTCGGCCACCGCCCCCCGCGTCCGGAGCGGCGCCGCTGGATGTGGAAGGCTGAGATGGGGCAGCAGGAGAAGGGGACGCGGTGGTGGGGGCAGAAGCAGCACCAGGGGCAGAAGCAGCAGATGTTGGATCTTGGACCCTGCAAAGAAACAAAACGAGCCGTTACGCTTCTGGCACTCGGGAGAGCAGAGCAGTGTCCTCTGTGCAGGCTTCCCTCCGGGCGGCGGCAGGCGGCTCCTCCGGGCCGTTCCCATTCCCATCGGTACGGATGCACAGCCGTGGCTCCCAGCTGTCTCCCATCTGCCGGGAGCCACCTCCCACCCTGCTGCACAACAGCCGACCCACACGGAGCAGCCGATGCTCTTGGTGAGCTCCGGCCTGAACCACGCTGAACTTTTACCTCGCCGTATCCTTGAGCAACGAGTTTGCTCCGAACGGGAAAATCCTCCTGCAGCTCCCGGAGAAACCACAGGAGGTTACGGCAGGGCTGCTGCAAGGGGCAAACAGCAGCCGGCCTGGCTGCAGCTTCTCTTGCGTGCTGAATGCTATGGTGCTCGCTGGGGCAAATAAGTCCCTGCCTTACAGTGCAGAGAACAGGAGGCAGACAGCAGCGAGCATCCCGTGGAGCTGCAGAGCATTTCTGTCCCAGTGGCTACGAATTCACCTCTCACATTTATTGGCCGTCCCTCACAAAGGAGATTTCTCATCCCAGCACAAGTTCAGCACAGCTCCCTTCACCAGGCACGCAGGCTGCAGAGCAGCGATGCAGCGCATCGGCTTTGCTCAGTTATCCAACCCCAGCAGTGCCTCATAATCACAGCTCTCCCTCAGGACTTTCACAGGCCTTTTAAAAAGAGCTTTTAAATGGTTCTCTGAGGCAGCTGCAGTCGTGCAGTGACAATCCTGGGCTCAAGAACACTGAAGGGCTTTCAAATGAGGCAGAACCCAACATTCCCTTCACTCACCTCAACTAAGGAACGCCATTCTGTCACTCCAAACAGCCAAGAGCACATCATTTCCTCTTTCCCAAACCCAGGAGGATTCCCTTCTCCACGTCCCTTTCCCTTCCCACATGCATTCCAGGACATCTGAACACCAAACCCGAAGGTCCCTTGCTGTTTTCCAGACCCATCTGACTGATGTTGAAAACCCCCAAGCAGGAGCAGAGGACAAAGCGGACGGGAAGCTTAACCAAAGAAGGAAGCAGGAGAACAAGCAGTTGGTTTCTCTGAGCACAGGAGGGGCTGCAGTGCCTTCAGTGAGCACTGCCAATAAGCACGACTCCTTTCATCAACTTCACTGCCCAGGGAGGCGGTGGAGGCACCGACCCTGCGGGTGTTCAAGGAAAGGCTGGATGTTGTGTTGAGAGACGTGGTTCAGTGGGAGCTGTTGGGAATGGGTGAACGGTTGGACTGGATGAGCTTTGAGGTCTTCGCCAACCTTGGTGGTTCTATGATTCTGCGATTCCCTACGGCGGGCAGAGAACAGAACGAAAAGCCAGGACAGCGCTTCGTTACCTTTGGAGTCTGCAGGGCGAGGGCGCACAGCAGGAAGTGAAAGGAACCCTGGGCAGTGCTTGCAGCATTGCTGCTGGGAAGGTAATTTCTGCTAACAGTGAGTCATCGCGATCAGATCCAGGACACAACCACGTTCCAATGGTTTCTGCCCAGGCTGCCAGTGGCGAAGGCTCCGCGCACACAAAGCCACGCTAATTGCCTTAACGATGCCTTCCCCCCCACGGGCTCACACAGGTGCACAACAGAAGCTGGGCCAAGCAATAAACCAGAGCTGCGCAGCGAGGAGAGCTCAGAGCCACAGCCTCTCTTCTCACCGCCCGCTCGCTCCCAGCCCCCCCGACGCCGAACGGTTCCTTACTTCTGTGGAGTCTTAATGACCAAATGCACGGTCAGCCCGTCTTTGATCCCATGTTGATTCAGAGTGTCTCCGTCCTTCAGGATCTTCCCAGCGAAGATCAGAACCAGCTGATCCTGTTTGGCTTTGAACCGCCTGGAAATCTCTTCTTTGAACTGAAAAACAAAGGCGGATTTTTCAGGCAGAAGAAGAAGGCAGGAACCTGGAGGTAACGCTCCGGACACCCAGCGTTCACTGTACAAACGGCAGCGGGCACCAAAAGGGCTTCAGCACCCCGACAGAACGGAGCCGCGCGGGTAGCAGTGCAGCTCCAGCTGCCCAGGGCAGAAAGCAAAGAGGAGCCCCGCACTGCTTCAGAACGTGGGCAGAAACCTCCCGAACCGTTACCTGGGGATGAGCTGAAGGCTTCCACAGCACGCGTGCCCTGAGGCCCGACCCAAACCCACCGCTTGTCCTCGGGACAACTGAGCTTCGTTCGTTTCTGCTCATCTCATTTTTTCCCAAGGAAAGCCCAACTCTGATTCCGTACAGGACAGAAAAGGGCCCGGTCCCTCATCAGCCAATGGATTAAACTGCTCTTCTCCAATTCCTGTCCCTGCGACTGTTCTCCTGCGAGCATCCACACCACCCAACACCGACATCTCTGTGCTGTGTGACGGGGGGGGATCAGCACCTGCCAGTAAGGCTGTCACTGCCAGCTCAGCTGGGCATTCCCGAGTCAGCAGGTGAGGAAAAAAAAAACCTTTGCATTTGGACGCCACAGATTTCAAGAAATTCTCATGGGAAGGTCAGGACCAGAAGAGCAAACGCCTTTCCTGGGGCAGCTCGCAGCCCTGGCGCCAGAACTCCCCAAAAACTGGGCCTGGGAGGACAAACTGCTGGAGCTGAGGTGATCTGGGCCACAAAGCTTCACCCCCTGCTCTGCGCACTCACAGCAGAGGGCTGGGAAGGAGCAGAAGGGCCACAAACAACACGCAGCTCCCGCCCAGCTCCCAGCAGCGCCGGCACACCACGACCTGTGTCCTAAAGCCCACGTCAAAGCACACAGCGCAGCACACAAAGCCAAGATCCACACCGCTGACACCTCGCACCAGTGGGCACAGCCACCTGCACAGCGCTTCTCATCAGCCCCCTCTTGCCCTCCAGGTGCACAGCGCCCTGCGGAGCTCCCTGCCTGGAGCAAACCCTCACAGGGCTGATGTTCCCTTCTCTCTGCTTCACCCTGCCTTTGCCCCGAAGGCTCAAGAGGAGCGAGAAGGAGGGAAGGAAGGAAGGAAGGAGGGAAGGAAGGAGGGAAGGAAGGAGGGAAGGAAGGA